GAGTTAAACCTATGATATTAAACCTAGAGTTAAACCTATGATATTAAACCTGGAGTCAAACCTATGATATCAAACTTAGAATTAAACCTATATGATATTTAACCTAAAGTTAAACCTATGATATTAAACCAAGAGTTAAATCTATGATATTAAACCTGGAGTCAAACCTATGATATCAAACTTAGAATTAAACCTATGATATTTAACCTAAAGTTAAACCTATGATATTAAACCATGAGTTAAACCTATGATATTAAACCTGGAGTCAAACCTATGATAGAAAACCTAGAGTTAAACCTATGATATCAAACCTAGAGTTAAACCTATGCTATTAAACTTAGAGTTAAACCTATGATATTAAACTTAGAGTTAAACCTATAATATTAAACCTTGTTAAACCTATGATATTAAACCCTTAAACCTGTAAAACCTACAGCATACATACAATATGATAATAATAGCTGAACTTAAAGTTAGACCTCTGAGTTAAACCTATGATATTCAACCTATAGTTAAACCTATGATATTAAACCTAGAGTTAAGCCTATGACAGTAAACCTATGGTATTAAACCTGAATATGAATTGAAATGAACTCAGAGTAATCTGTGTTTAATCTGACATAAGTACATAATCTATGAAGTATAACACAGGATGTGATGTTGTGGGTGTAGGGTTGGAATTGCAATAATGTATGTGCATAAAGCGCAGAAAGGAAAGCGTTTGCAAAGTAAAGAACTGAATAAAGTCATGTTTTAGAGCTACAGCTACAAACTCGGTGAGCTAAACATTTTTCAATTTCGATCAGCCATCAACTTTCCCCAGGGTCATAAGTGTTAACACAAAAATTTGGTTCAGTCGTTTTTGACATTTTTTGGATTCAAACATCCTAACAGACAGACAGACAGGCCAAATTTACATATACGTATAGAGAATATTCCTACCTGATGGAAGGAATTTACATATACGTATAGAAAAAATTCCTACCTAATGGAAGGAATTGCGCTATTATTGTATATTTTCTGATTTTTCCTATTTTTACTCCCATCCTCTAGATCTCCATCATCTACTCCATCTTCCCCTTCTCCTCCAACTCCACGGACTGCTTCTCCCCCAACACCTCGGCAACTGCGGTCTCCGGACTCTGAGCTTCTCTGAAAACCAAAAATTCGATTTAAAGGGGCTGTAAGTGCATTTTTAATTGACCCTACATACAAAGATGACAATGCCCGATTCACAACGGTACCCTTAAAAGCTTTGTCTAATCAAGTAAGAATTAGATACAATTTTTGAAACATTGTGGTTTCCCTACAAATGTGATATGCGTATTTCTGCTATAGGAAAACATATAGGAATTATCAGTATTAAACACTTTTAAACCTAGAAAAATGGCAAAATCTTCCACATTATTGATCAGATAAAGGTTTCAAGGGTATCGTTGTGAATTGACATCTTTGCATGGAGGGTCACTTGAAATTAACAATGGTAAAAACCTTAACTTTTTATTTGTAATATCTGAATAAGGATTTTGAAATTATGGCATTGTGTCGGAAAATATGAACAGAATGTTAGGTATATTTCACAATTGTATAAAGAAAAGGGTTACCATTTTTTTGAGAGAAAATATTCTCTTCGGAGTCATCATTGCTTATGTTTAAATATTCTGTATTTAATGCTTAACAACTGTTGTTATATAGTCATGATTGTTGGTTAATTATTTTTATTATTACTTTCATTATTAGCCATTTAAACTTACTGCATGAATTATAACAGTATACCCAACCCAACATATAAAACAAACTATTCTAAATATGCAAAAAAAAAAGATTAAAAGCTTTATAATTGGCGGATTTTTAGGTTAAATTTGTGATTTTTTTTTAAAATCAGAGATATCTTAATGGATTTAATGTATACCAATTTATACTACCCTGTCACTTAACCCTTTTATACCTTAGATATCCCCCC